GCTCCAAGTGTCGCCTTGTGAGCAATTGCATGTCAACACACCTGATTGCAACTAACGTTTTTGTTTTGTTGGTGGGCAAAGGGATAGGGGGAGCGCGGTTGCATGCCCGACACTAGGCTTGCAACTACAAGTGTCGTCCTTCACTACAACTGCACATCTCTCCTCCCTACTATAATTGGCGTTGTGTTTTTGCCGGAGCCTGGCAGAAGAGTAGGGGGGCAGTTGCATGCCCGGAAGTAGGCTTGCAACTTCAGGTGTCTCCCTCCACTGCAATTTGCATGCCTCCCTCCCGATTGCAAATGGCCTTCTATTTTTTTGGAGGGCGATGGGAGAGGGGAGCGAAGTTGCAAGTCTGGCGATAGGCTTGCAACTGTAAGTGTCGCACTCGACTGTGACTGCATGCCTACACACCCAATTGCGACTAACCTTGTTGTTTTGTTGGTGGGCGACATGAGAGATGGTAGTTGCATGTCTGACACTAGGGTTGCAACTGCAAGTGTCGCCCTAGACTGCAATTGCATGCCTACATGCCCAACTGCAACCAACCTTTTTTTGGTCGGTGGGTGACAAGAAAGGGGGAGGGTAGTTGCATGCCCAACACTAGGCTTGCAACTGCAAGTGTCACCCTCAACTGCAACTGCATGCCTACATACCCGATTGTAACTGATCTTTTGCTTTGTCGATGGCCGATGGTAGACGCGGGGGGAGGGGGTTGTAGGTCTGGCACTAGGCCTGCAACTACAAGTGTCGCCATGTCTACAATTGCATGTCGACACACCTGACTACATTGACATTTTCTTTTTGTTGGTGGATAGCAGGAGAGGGGAGCAGTTGCATGCCCAACACTAAGCTTGCAACTGCAAGTGTCGTCCTCATCTGCAATTACATGTCTTCCTCCCGACTGCAACTCGCCTTGTGTTTTTGTTGGAGGTCGATGGGAGAGGAAGGGGTAGTTGCATGCTCAGCACTAGGCTTGCAACTACAAGTGTGGCCCTCGACTGCACACGCAACTCCAAGTGTCGTCCAAGATCACACCTACACGATGTAACATGAAACACAACTATAAAGGGTACAAACGCCTGCAGCTAGCCGCTCCCTACACTTTTATTATTTTTTTCAAATACACATTAAACATTTTTAATATATTTTTTACATTTTTAAAATATATGGCAGTTTTTTAAAATATTATTGAACAATTTACAATTACACAATGAATTTTTTAATACAGAATAAAAATTTAAAATACGGAAACACTTTTTTCTAAAATATCACGACAAATGTAAACAAGTGCTTCAAGAAAAAACACAAACAAAAGAAAAAAAGAAAAGGAAAAAAAGCAAAAACAAACAAAAAACTAGACTCACGAAATCATGCAAAGACCTAACGATACGCTAGTGGTGCGCTTCAAGAAGTAGCGCCCAGAAAAATCACAAGACAATAAAAAATCGGTGGCCAAAAGCACTTGTCATGTACATTTTTGTCTCTATCATGGGCCCATACTTTTTTGTTCAACACCCTTTTCCCTGTGTGTATAAAACAAACAAACAAGGAAATATCCGTGTCCAAATACACAAACAAAGAAAACAAATAAACAAGAGGGAACAAGAAAAGCCTAGAAATCAGGCTGATACAGCCCATCAGACGCCAAGTCAAGAAATGGGCCTAATCTACTTTAGATGATGTCAGCTGAGTGAGACTTCGCGAAGTCTAAGTCGACTGAGACCTAGACAGACCCATAAGAAAATAAAAGGACAAATCAGGGAGGAACCTCCTCGGTTGCAGTTAGTATAGGAATGGGACCACCTTTTCCACCAACGTCCAAAGTTACGTAGGTTTAGAAACAAAATATACGTTCACCTTTTGTTACCTGATGTCTACAGCGGAAATGATTCTCGAGCAACAGGTGTGATGAAGTTTGCCTTAGTGAAGAAAAACAAAAGAATCCAGTAAAATCTTGAGGGGAAGGGAAACATGGTTATTTGGTCATGGTCAACCATGTCGCCTCTTGTTATAATGGGAAATAAAAACATTACAATGTCACCAGAGAAATTAGTTCATTCAGACGTTTACGATGGAAAATGTGTTAAATCCAAAAATGCTAGTTGCAAACTTGCAATGAAGATTTCACCCAAATTTTCTAAACTGTCTCTTTGCTACAATTTTATGTAGGTGTAGCTCCAAGAACAGGTGTTCTGTGGCGTGTATTGATGGCCAATAGCGAGTTCGAGTATGTGAAGAGGGAATTCGAGTTCGACCATCACCTCCCGGCCTCCAACTGGATCATTGTCTGCTTAGATGGTTGTCATTTCCACCGGTACTGTTCATCTCTTCCTTCAATAAGGAAAAAAAGTGGTTAAGCAACTGCATAGATCATTTCACCATGTCAAGTTCTTAATCTTGTCCATGTACCAATGTCTTTTGCTTGATTGTTGAAGTATAAGCATGTGGGAAACATGCAATGAAGGTTACTATATGCATATCTGGGAATTACTGTTGCTTCAGATTATAAATAGCTTATCTTTGTTGTTCCAGTCTCCACTAATTTCACTCCTCTTTTTGTTAGATTCTCGAAGATACACGCCTTTGAGAAACCAAATGATGAGAGCGCTTTAAGATTGATGAATGCTTGTGCTAGTTCTATCCTCGAGGAATTTCCTGACATAGTGTTTTCTTATGGTGTTAGAGCATCTCTAGCAGACCCTTTAAAAGAGCCAAAACTGTAAAATAACTGCTTTTTACAGGATTGAGCGGAAAAACCGACCCGGCCAAACCACTCAAAATCGGCCGACCCGCATATTTTTTTGAGGGAAACCTTAAAATAAGCCTCCAATCCTGCAGTTGTTCAAGATTCAGGGCAAATTTTTCTGTTCACCTTAAAAAAGGACAGTTGGCGGGAGGGAAGTTTCAGGTCCAACCGCCAGAATAGTTTTCATTTTGATCAAGATCTATCATGTCAGTCTCGATTCCGGCCAAATTTCCAGCAGACAGGCCTGATCTGGAGCGATTCTAGTTGATTTCGGTGGGCCGGCGCTAGCTCCGTGCGTGCTCCTTGGGATCCGTTCCAATGTAGCCTGCACGGTACCACAAAACAGGTTTAAGGTTCCCCTTATAATGCTTTTACGGTACCGCGATATAAGGGATCTACTAGAGATGCTCTTAGCGATGAGTACAGGTATAACCCGTATAACATCTTCTCATGAAAGTTAGATTGTAAAATGGATGCAAATTTTATATTAAAAATTTGTATGCAAATACTTTTATGAATGGAGATACTTTTGAATTGCACGGGCTTTGTTCTCAGATAATAATGTTAGGTTCTCATATTTCTGTTTGCTTTGCAGTTTTGTTTTCAGAGAGGGAACAGAATTCTGTCAAAGACTTCTCTACCAATAATTGCAGCAAAATTCTCTCTTTGTGTGTTTCTTACATCACACCTGTGTATGTGATGAAGTTGAAAGATTTCTTTCCAAATAAAGAGTTGAGAGAGGCTCCATATTTTGATGGGCGAGTTGTATGCTATCCAAATATGAAGACCATTCGTGATTATTTGGCATGGAGGCAACTGGACTGTAAGCTTCTTTAACTACAGTCGACAGTTTCCTAGTATAAGTGATAAGATTCTTGTATTTTGCAATTGTGCATGTTGATCTCCTCTACAATAACATCTTGTCGTGTATGTTATTCCCCCAAAGTTGTAGAAACGTCAGCAATATTAAATAAACACAAGTATGGTGTATGTATCATCATTCAATAGATTTGTATGTCCGGTTGCTCCGTTGCTTAGTTTGTTTTAGTTTATTGGGTAAGTATAATGAACATATTTAATTTGAGACGTGTGTTTCAGGTCATAGAAATAATCATTAAAATACATGCTTCTAGACATTAGTGATATCTGAAAAAACTGAAAAAGAGGCACAACAAGCATTGAAGGTAATCTAAGTTTTATAGAGTTTGAGTTGTCTTTTGTATCATTTGTATAAATTCTTTTTTGTGAACCATCTATTCTAGGGAACATTTTCTAAGGATAAAAACGAGTTGCTTTCACAACAGTTCCAAATCATCCATGATGATGAATCGACTATGTTCCGAAAAGGATCCAGCGTTTATCGAGATAACGTAATGGTGTCAACCATACAAAAGGAAATCATCATTAAATGTTCCTACTCATTCTCAGTGACATATTTTCCATGTTTCTGTCACAAGATATCGCTTGCATGATTTATGCAAATGACCATCATAGTTTCTAATCATAACTTGGTGCAGAGATCAATCTAGCATTTCTGAATTCGCATCTGATATCCAGATAGTTAAATGTGAAAAGTCCCTCTATACTTTAGTTTTGAGGGATAATGGGAACTCCGTATTTGGCATTTCACGCCATTTCCTTGTCTGATATTGGTCGAATGCTATAATTCTTCTAATCAGCTGTGCAGATTACGTAATGTATTTCTATTGTGGGTCTGATTGTTGAATAATGTTATTTTGTGGGACATGTTTTGCTCAACTCTTACTTAAGAACAGTTAACCCTGTATGGTGCTCTTTCGAATACTGATGGAAGTGTTGTTGTACATATCATTGCAGGTAGAAACAACGCTGAAAATTGACGATTATGGGAATCTTATAAAAAGAACCCGGTTGGCAATTACAGTGTCAATTTTTGATATCATAGGACATGAGTTTCGAGAAAAACATCAAAACATTCTTCGAGAAGGTTAGTTGAATCATTATAGTTTTAGCAATGCTTCCAGTCCAGCTCCAGTCAACTTTTGATACATACAACCAGTACTGTACTGTATACAACATCGGTCTAACTGTGTGTTTGGGAGAAGAAAAATATAGATACGAATATATTATAGAAGTACGAATACATCCATAGGCTTCCATGTTGTAATTGAACTGTTGTTCATATCAGCGCCTGCCAAATTGATCAGTGAGGACCCCTAGTTTCCTATTTATGGAATGTATATGCTCCAATGCCATTTACAGTTTCTTGTCGACAGTAGTACAATATGTAACATCTGAATTTATCTGTTCATCTACACCAGTATGTATGGTAGGACTAGGGTTCCTACCGGCTCTACTCCGTAGGTTATACGGGCAGAACAGCGAGGGTTGGGGGCGAGGGCGGCGGCTCCGGCGTGTTGGCGCCGTCGCGAGGGAGAAGAAGGGCGGCGGCGGCTAGGGCAAGGTGCGGCTAGGGTTTCCGGCTCCTCTGGAGCCGGGCAATATGATAGAACTATCTTTATTGCTTGATCTCAAACGATGTCTTACAACTAGTATTTATAACTTTAGCCTAAGATAACTTGCTAAAATAACTTGCCTAAGATAACTTGTGGGTCAAGCCCCTAATACTAATGCCCGGTGGGCCTCTTTCGGGTATAGACCAAACCGGTCATAACATCTCTCCCCGCCTGTGCAAACAACTCGTCCTCGAGCTGAAAGTCTGGATAGTGTTGGCGGAATTCCTCACGCTGCTCCCAAGTAGCCTCCTCCTCCGGAAGGCCCGCCCACTGAACGAGGATGAACCAGACGCCACGACGGAGCTGCGCCTGCAACACCTTTGCCGGCTCTGGAAGAATGCGACCATCGGCCATGGGAGGAAGCGCCGGAGGAGCCGCCGGTGGCTCGCCACGGAAAGGCTTGAGCAGCCCCACATGGAAGACGTCGTGGATGCGAGCGCGGGCTGGAAGCTGAAGACGATAGGCCACCTTCCCAATGCGCTCCAAGATAGGGAAGGGCCCAGCGTAGCGAGGGCCGAGCTTGCGCTTCGCGCGCGGGTCGAGTGACTGCGTAGAGCGATGGAGAAGATGCAGCCACACCCAATCACCCACCGCGAACTCTGCCTCGCGATGATGATCGTCGTAGTAGTGCTTGGCCAGCTGCTGGGCCTGAAGGAGATGCTGACGAACCTTAGCAAGCATCTCGTCACGAGTGCGGATGAGGTCACCCGCAACCTCTGTCCGAGCTGTCTCCGGATCCACCGGAAGTATAGGCGGGGGTGGTCGACCATAGACCACCTCAAACGGCGTAGCGCGCAGGGCGGAGTGATAAGAGGTGTTGTAGCAGTACTCCGCCCAAGAGAGCCAGTCCACCCAAGCGCGAGGCCGATCACCTGTCACACAACGCAAATACATGGCAATGACCTTGTTAACCACCTCGGACTGACCGTCCGTCTGAGGATGGAATGCCGTACTCAGGCGGAGCTGGACACCCGCCATCCTGAAGAGGTCGCGCCAGACGTGGCCCGTGAACACTGGGTCCCGATCACTGACGATCGAAGCAGGGAACCCGTGTAGACAGCCGATGCCGTCGAAGAAGGCCCGGGCCACTGACGCCGCCGTGTATGGATGGCCGAGCGCGATGAAGTGGGCGTACTTGGAGAAGCGGTCGACCACCGTGAGGATGACCGACTTGCCGGCCACCTTGGGAAGACCCTCAATGAAGTCCATGGATATATCCGCCCAGACCTGAGACGCCACCTCCAAGGGTTGGAGTAACCCGGCCGGCCTCAGGGTCTCTGTCTTGTTGCATTGGCATGTCTGATAAGACCGAACCCAGTCGCGGACCAGGGCGCGATCGCCAGGGATGTAGAAGTCGGCGCGAAGACGATGGAGGGTTTTCTGCATACCCTCATGACCCGCCGAGTGGGCGAGCTATAACACTTGGTGAAGGAGATCATCCTGCATCGGAACAAAGACCCGCCGCCCATGTAGGAGCATTCCGTCAGAGAAGCGCCAAGGCTCCTCCAGGTCGACGGCCGTGAGCTGCTGCTGAAGACGGACGGCGTCGTCGGCCGTCGCAGTGGCACGGCGAATGTCGGCGAAGAGGCCGAACGTCGGCCCGGAGCGGATGCACAGGGTCGCCCCGGCGGACTCATCGACGGAGGAAGCGAGGTCGGAGTCACGACGGGACAGCGCGTTGGCCACGGTGTTAAGGCGGCCCGGCCGATACTCGACGGAGAAGTCGAAGCCGAAGAGCTTGCTGATCCACTGGTGTTGCGGCACGGTCGACAGCCGCTGGTCCAGCAAGAACTTCAGGCTGTAGTGGTTGGTGCGAATGTGGAAGGACCGTCCCCACAAGTACGGCCGCCAATGACGAACATCCTGTACAAGGCCAATGAGCTCCCGCTCGTATGCCGCCGGCTTAAGATGACGCGGAGCGAAAGGCCGGCTGAAGAAGGCGAGGGGCCCATCGCCCTGATGAAGCACGGAGCCGAACCCTGCGCCCGAGGCGTCACAGTCCACCATGAACGGGCGGTCGAAGTCGGGCATCTGGAGCACGGGGCCTGTCGTGAGGGCCCCCTTGAGGGCCTCGAACGCCGTCGTCGCCTTGTCGTCCCAGGCGAAAGCGTCGCGGCGAAGCAACCGCGTGAGGGGCGCCGCGATGAGCCCGAACTCCCGGATAAATTTCCGGTAGTAGCCGGCGAGGCCGAGGAACCCGCGGAGAGCCCGCGGCGAGTGAGGCGTCGGCCATGCGGAGACGGCAGCCACCTTGTCGGCGTCCATAGCCACCCCGTCGGCCGAGATGACGTGGCCCAAGTAGGCCACCGAATGCGTCCCGAACGAGCACTTCGAGCGTTTAAGGTGGAGGTGGTGCGCTCGAAGCTCGTTGAAGACGATGGCGACGTGCTGGAGGTGCTCGGCCCAAGACGCACTATAGATCAGAATATCATCAAAGAAAACGAGCACAAACCGGCGTAAGTAGGGCCTGAGGACGTCGTTTATCAGAGCCTGGAAGGTCGCCGGGGCGTTGGTGAGGCCAAAGGGCTTCACCAAGAACTTGAAGTGGCCGTGACGAGTCCGAAACGCCGTCTTGGCGATGTCATCCGGGTGCATGCGCACCTGGTGGTACCCCGACCGGAGGTCGAGTTTGGTGAAGAAGCGCACCCCGTGGAGCTCATCGAGGAGCTCGTCGACCACCGGAATAGGGAACTTGTCCTTAAGTGTGACCGCATTAAGGGCACGGTAGTCGATGCAGAAACGCCATGTGTCGTCTGACTTCCGGACGAGAAGCACCGGCGCAGTAAATGGCGAAGTGGAGAGCCGGATGATGCCTGCGGCAAGCATGAGCGCACACTGTCGCTCCAACTCATCCTTCTGCAACTGTGGGTAGCGGTAAGGCCGTACCGCCACCGGCGTGGAGCCTGGCAGAAGATGTATACGGTGATCGTACGTGCGGGCGGGCGGCAGCCCCTGTGGCTCGGTGAAGATGTCAGCGTGCTGCTGGAGGAGGCTCTCCAATAGTGGGTGCTCGGCCGTGGCGGTGGTCGCGGCCAGCTGGAGTGGAGTGGTTGGGGCGACACCCCCAATGCCGTCCCACCGAATGCGACGGCCCAACCGCCAGAAGGTCATCGTCAGCGCGTCGAAATCCTAGAGAATAGGACCAAGAGTGCGCAAGAAGTCGACGCCGAGGATGAAGTCGAAGCAGCCCAAGTCGATGCCGGCGCAGGTGATGGTGAAGTGCTCGTTGCCGATAGTGATGGGCACGTCGCGGGCGAGCCCGTGGCAGCGGAGACGGTCGCCATTAGCGACTGTGACTCGCAACTGCTCACCGCCGGTTGGCTGTAATGCAACGCGCCGCAT